AAAATGTGGCTCCTAATATATAGGTCAAAACTGTTTGGAAGTACATTTTATATAATGGAAGATCATCAATATTAATCATTAACTCTATTAGATTATTTATGTATAATAGTATCATTATGCATTGTTCCCAGAACATTGATAATATTTTTTTTCAATGCCAAAATGTACGTATTTGTTACCCCTTAGTTTCAAGAGTACTCATCATCATTGATATTGGTATATGCTGAGATGCTTTCAATATAGTTTTAGCTGATGATGGCATGTCATTTAATCCATATGTTTTCAAAATTGCCAACAAATGATGTAGTTGAAAATGGTTGATGATTCACCTTAAAAATTAATTTCCCATGATCGAATTTCTTCAGAATGTTTTGCCTGTTACGATTTGGCTCATCATCAAGTCTATTATTTGGCATATTTGGTCATTTGGCTCATCATCAAATGAAATATCATTAATATAGTCCGAAAAGTCACTATCAATACTGCTATTACTGCTATCAATTCCGCCAGTAACTATATAGCTGTAAATTTGTAGTAGTACTCTCATATAGAGATCATATTCAGAATCGTGAACATTTTTAATGTTGGCTACATATCAGAATATTTAGCTTCGATTAACATCTCATTCACATATTCGATAACATTACCAAATTGCAGAAATTGCGTTTTAGAAAGAGGTTTTGAAATATTAATTTGGTTCTTACGATGTCCCAACGCTTGCTTGATTACAAAAACAGTACATATATTTTATTAACAAAGCCAAAAAAACTTATTGGCTGTTGCAGAACACTTACGTCATCAATTAAAAGTAAATTTCAGCTGTGGCATCCGCACGGCGTAAATTTTTCTGTTTCTGTATTACCTTCAGTAATACCGACCATATTGGCGCCATTATCTTACACCTATTCTCGACTGTTTTGGATATATAGACCATTTCTGTCTAATTCTTGTAATGTTGATTTTGTTATGTACTCTCTCACAATGAAACCAACAAAAATATTTCTTTATTTCCACTGCTGAGAAATTACAAAATATTAAAATTATGAACACTTGTTCAACGCGGCTGACATCCCTAGTAAAATCCAGCAAGGCAGCACAGTATTTTGCTTTTTGAACTCTTCTTATAATTTCATCAATAACTGACTTAGACATTTGAATCTCTATTTCTTAAACTTTGTGACAGAATTGTATTTTTCTATTAACATTAATTAATCACATAACAAATTTAATATATCATATATGTATAATATACGTATATGTATACACATTGAATATATCATATACGTATATACATTATGTGTATACATTGTATCAGTATTCTATATGTTCATCTGCCTTTCTTAAATTATCATTTTTTTTAATTAATTTTGATCTGACATGGTACTAAAGTATATGAAATAATAATCATAGCGTATTATATGAATAGGATATAAAAAAAGACTTACAGCTATACACTCGTATATAGGTAGTATCTGACTATTTATTATCCTTTGAAAGAAATCTACAAAACAAAAATAATAAATAAATATATAAGCATATAAAATTACAGTGGTACCTCGACATACGAGCTTAATCCGTAACTACACTCGTCTGTTAAATTTCTCGTATCTCGAAGCAATTTTTTCCAAATAAATGCATTGAAATTCCTTTAATTTGCTCCAGCACTGTGGGCTTTGTTAAATTTTTTGAATACCAAGAATAAATTTACTATTTATTAATTTAATTATTGTTTTAACAATTCTCATGCTCAAACTGTTGCATATTTTTCACCATGAACTTTTAGAGCTTAGAAAGCAACTTATAAGTTTTTGCAATTTAAATACAGTACATATCTATGATTACTCGTACATCAAATGTTAAAATAATCCTCGATGTATTAGCGTGGGGTAAATTGTTACTACACGATTGATAATAATATATAATTGAAATGACTTATCATAAAATATTTTACTATCATAAAACAACCGAAATTATTGCCTTATAAATATATACAAAAACTTACATTAAAAAAGTATTTTCATTATAGATATAGTCTAAACATCAAGTCATTTATTTGTATGAGCATAAACTTATAATACTAATAATATCTAAACTAAAACATAAAAAAGCGTCCCTATACATTCAAAATTTAAAACTACTATTTTTTATAAACTATTCATGGTAATAATTAAAATAATTGAGATTCTGTTTTGGGACAATATTGAAACAATGCTTCTGCATCTGACCCGAGACAATTAATATAAATCATCACATACATATATATATGTATATATATATATATATATATATATATATATATATATTGAATGGTAGAGTCTTGGATTTGTGTATATTTTGTAAACATCAGAAAGAATTGGTTGAAGGAGTGTAAGGATGAGCCTGATACTAAAATGTTTTCTTCTAACAAAATTTTTGCAAAATAATAATATAAATCTTCAACGTATGGTATGCTGCAGTAAATAAGATTGGTGTTTTTGATTATTATTTTGCAAAAATTTTGTTAGAAGAAAACATTTTAGTATCAGGCTCATCCTTACACTCCTTCAACCAATTCTTTACGAACATTAAATCCCCTACCCCATCCAATCTCAATACTAATGTAGTATATTCTGTTTCTTGTAATGACTGTGCTTTTCAATATATTGGACAAACCTCCCAATATGTACACAAGAGAATGAGACAACATGAACTAAGTGTGGTCCACCATAAACAAAAAAAATTCAAAAGTACCCTAGTACAACACTCTATAGAAAACGCCCATTCATTTAATTTCACTCCAAAGATTTTATATCATGAAAGTTGCATCTTTAGAAGGTTATTCGCGGAGAGTTGTCTCATTCTCATAAATGTTTCTAACAGTGTCAACATTAGATCAGATCACAACCTATTACATGACTCATATTTAAATTTTTTACACTTTTTGACAAACAATTAATATCGACTTTCTTTTAAGATCAACAATTTAAGTATTCACACCCTAACATATAAAAACACACACATACAATCTCACAGCTCTCGTTCAAGTGTTTACACGTGTTACAAAGGACACACTAGTTTCAATTAGTTAATTTTCAAAAGCCAATCGCACAACATCTAAAAAACAATATTATTTGTATTTCAAATAATAATTTTAAAAAAGACAAATCTTTTAGTAATTTTGATTTACAAAATCTAATTATTCGGCGGAAAATTAACTCACAAATTCATTTTTGTTAAAAAGCTTGTTTAGTGAAAAAGTGCTAACATATATTCAAACATACAGGTAATTAATTCAACTTTGTCATTAACCTTTTCTTAAAAAATTTTCCATAACTTTCAAAAAAAATTTCTATTATGTTTAATATCCTGTTCTGATAATCCACTCATTTATTTTTATCATTTTTATCATTTTCATTTTGATCATATTAACATATTTCTGTACATTATTATATTTTTTTTTGCAATTAATTTATTATTTAAGAAAAATCTATTTTCTTTTCCTAAACATATTGTTTGCAAAAATCTCATCAAGATCATGTTTCTTGACAGATGTCCTGAAGATGGAACGTACCTAGTTCCGAAACGTCGACAGTAAAACAAATAATTAAATAAAGAAATTGTTTATTAAAAACTTTTCTTGTTTTTTATTTTGTATTATTTTTGGATTCTTGTTCGAAACTCTACAAAATATATATATATATATATATATATATATATATATATATATTAAAGTTTTAGCACTTAATCTTAAATCTGAACGGATTGCCTAGAACGCAGTCAGTTCATTTTAAATGTAATGGCTTAGATTATGTTGAGTTAGTTGTCTTTCATTAATACGATGCATGTTTTAAATATAAGAGATTTTCGATTGCCTCTAAATGATAAGTCTAGAAATTGCATCAGTCATTCTTTAAATCATTACTTTGCGACTCTTTAATCGATCTTTTATTATCCTTATCTCTTGTTTTTCTGTATTTGATTCCTTTATATAATTTTATCCATTTAATCACGCATTTCATGTGTCCTTGGTTTTGTTAATGTCTTTGCAATATTCGCCTCAAATCTTTCAAGCCCAACATTCTTTCATAACTACCTGTGTCTATAAATGTGAAGAAAGTCTGCCATGGAAAACAATAAACTTTATCTTGAAAAAAAAAATGGAGTGGACGAGCCATCTGCGATGTTTTGCCGTTACTTGATTTTCGAGTGAAATGAAATACAGAAAGAATGTTTTATTTGTGTCTTTTGGGTAGCTCTCATCAGATTTCCCTAAATTTTGATTGACTTTGTTTTGATTTAGCTCATGACGTTGAGCATTGTTTTACTGGCAATAACCACTTTCCTGGATTTCTATATTCATAAATGACTCTCTTAAATAAACTTCTTGTACTTGATTTTTTGAGTCATTTATCGTTTCACTTTTCAACCATTTGTTGGGTTCGGACACTTGGATCATAGCCAGTAAAGAACTCTCAGCTAAATTTGCGTTTGATGCTAGATCAGAAACTAAAGTTTCTCCACGTGACTCTGAAGCAGTGACACTAGTAGAAGATTTCTTGAGAAATTTTATCATACTGGATCCCAGACGACACTAGACATCTTGGCAAATGTCCACAGGATATCTACGCGCGGACATTCATTGTCCATGCTATAGCCATACGGATATCCTGCTTATCTTGACTTTATCCGAAACATGTTAATGTGTCGCACCTACAGGACATTCTGTAGGATATCCCGCGCGGAATATTCCGGACATAGACCGGACATGAATAGGATTTAATAATGGAATTGTTTTTCACTTTTTAGATGAAAAATAAATTTGGATTAAAAATAAAATAAAAGAACACAATTTTACTAAGTAAATTTTATTAAAATTCTGAAATAATTTTATTTCAAAATAACGAAATTTATTATAAATCCAATTTTTGACGTTTCTGATGTAGCAGACTTTCTAACAAAATACAAAGAATTCAATACTTGCTCCGCATCTATCCAAAATTTTAAATGTTCTGATTCATTTGTTATAGCGCATCGGAGTTCCCCGTTTTTGGACTTATTGATAGTCCGTTAACGCTGTCAAACAAGCAGTCCATGAACTTCAAAAATTCACTAGTGCCATAGGCAGTTGCCGAAGCATCTAACCTCGTAAAATATGAATTTTGAAGTCCAATGGCTACACGCTTTGAGAACACTTGTGTCGCTAATGATACCTTCATGACTTTCCAACATTTTTGATAAATATGTTGAGCGGTTAAAGTGGGACAACATCGATATATGCTTAACTTAGAGTCATACTCATAAAAACTCAGAATATCACTCCAAGCAGCTTCGAGTTGTACCCCCTTTGTGCTGGTACATTTAACATTACATTTTGCAAAGTTATTCATCATACACTTCAACATATGAGGAGGATCAAACAAAGGAGCTATTGGATGCCCGTTTATTTCGAATTCTAATCTTTTATCATCATTATTTCTACCATAACGTTTATTTGTCTCATTTATAAGCATGCTAACAGCTTTGCGATTTGCGGGGTATTGATTGCAAACTGTTGCCACAATTTTTAAATCAATACTAAGTAATTTTTTCACTACTTCTTCAATGCAGCATTTCAAATTGAAATTATTCACACCACCATCAGAAAAATAAAAAGCAACTGGCCATTTCCACTTGTTCTTTAAACCCTTAATCATAAACACCAGTGCGTGGTCAGCAAATCCATTAGCAAGCTCTTCAAAACCTACAATATAATCTTTTGCGCAGTAATATGTTAGGAAAGTTAAAAGTGAAATATCGTCAAACATTACAATGCAATATTTATCTTTATCATCACTCAGATGAGATAGTGATGATTGCAATGTTTTAAAAATGCTTTCGTTAATGCCACTATGCATTGGAACTTTTGTAAGTAACTTTCGCAAAGATGTTATTGAAGGCAAAATAAATATGTCTCCAGAATCTATAAGCTTTTGGACTTTTCTTTAGTAGAGACAAAGCAAGTACTTTTTCATCTGTAGTGAATCTCCTTCCTTGAACTTTTTTAGAGTGTTCTCTAGAGTGTTCTCTGTTTTTAGAGTGTTAGAGCTGACATGTTATGAATTGACATGCTCGTTCGTTCAAGGTTTCAGGAATGTGGGAAAACTGTTTCGCATACATCACACTTTGACGTAGCCTGGCCTTGTATGACTTAAAATTTTTTTTGTATTCTGAGCATGTCCTTTTTCAATTTTTTTGATAAAAGGTATAATTTTTTTGCCTTTGGTGTCAGACAGGACACTCGCTTCACTGAAAATAAACATGATTTAGCATTATTGAAGTAAAACTTCTTTAGGCGCGATATGGGTGTAAAAATTTCTTTAGGCTACACGGGTGTAAATCCGTACAAATGCAACGAAAACGCCAACGTGAAGTTGAACACTACGACGCTGTAAGCGCTGATGTCGCGAGTCGCGATCCACTCCCGTCATGTCATGCGTAAGTCGAGCGCTAAACCCTATATGAACTTGCATTAATTGAATCACGTTTTTTACAAAAGAAGAGGTTGCCGTATTATGTCCTCATGGAATAAGACTTTTCTTAGAGAATAAATGTGTCATGGAATATAATAAATTTATATTGAATCTCGTTGAAGACAAAATAATATCTACTGCCACGGATATTTATGTAGGTTGCCATGCGACAGATCAACAATCATACATTCGTCAGCAGTTTCACAAAAATCGGTTATTGATACCGTGGGGGGTTTGCCGTATGAAATAATTTCAGTTCTGAATAAATTTTACATAATAACAACTAATATTGATGTAAGTGATGGCTTAGCTAATGGTTGTGTAGGAAAATTAGTGTACATAGAACGTGGCGATAATGATGAACTTCTACATTTGTGGTTTGAATTTCCTGGTAAAATGGGTAACAAAATTAGGAAGAAAGCTGCACATCATATTCACACTCTTAATATCATTAGGACAGCTGTGCCGATTCTCAGGAAATCTTCATCTATTCCAATGAATAGAAATAAAATCATATTTGCCAAAAGAAATCCTTTTCCTTTAGTGTCTGCTTGAGCACTCACAATACACAAATCACAAGGTGGTACTTTGATGAAATTGTATATGAATGCAATAAAACACATAATCAGCAGCTTTTCTAAAACAACGACAAAAATTTTATCATGGAAGAAAACGGCCAGCAGGATTAATGGACTTACAAACTGAATTCCAAAGATTTTCAACTTGTAGATTAATAACACAAGAAGAAAAATTGAGCGAGATAATAAGTTTGAACGACATTTCATTGTTTTCCTTTAACTGCCAAAGTTTACGAGCTCATTTGCCTGATCTGCTCATTTGCCTGATAAAGTGCTACAACGTTGTACGTTTTTGTTATTTTCGGAAACTTGGATTAATAATGAAGAACGAATTGATACTCAGATCTATTGCTGCGTTACTCAATACAAACGATCAAACTCAAGAGCAGGTGGTGTAGCTGTCTATCATTCATGTTCAGATATTCTTCATAATGCGACTCCTATGCAGTTTCTTGCGCCAACAATATTCCTATTGAAATTCCTAATGAAATTACACAAGTAGGTGATATTGCACTTGTCCGCTGTGTGAACACACAGAATCAAACATTAATTATAGTCGTCCTTTAAATTTCTCCCAATAAAAACGTATCAAATATTATTAAATTTCTTTATCAGCAGTTACTTCATTTTTCTAATGAGGGTGCAAAACTTTTAAACACTAATCACAACGAGATACCATTAATTCTTGCTGGAGATTTCAATGTCAATTTTCGTTCAGAAGAATCTCAACCATTAATTTTTTAAATAATAAATTTAATTTAACAATGAATAATTCTCCATTTGAATCAACCACAAAATATGGCACGACTGTTGATAGAGTTTTCTCCAGAAATGTACATAGTTTACAAAGCAAAATTTATGTCTCTCATTTCAGTTATCACAAGCCTATTATATCATATATGAAATATGATAGCAATTAATCTATCGCTGTTGTTTTAAACTGTGTTATTGATGTTATGTGATTATTAATATATGATTTCTAAAATTCAAATATGATGTTTTTTTATTTTTATCTTAATTGCCTACTCATACAATATTAAAAAATCAATCGCGTGTGATCCTTACGCGCACTCTTTTTTTTTAATTAGAGAGACTATTGAATAGTGATATTTATTATATTTATTCACCTGTATTACGTGTTGGCGCGACATGTCCCTGATTTTCCATTGTATTGGACACAAATTCGTTATTTGCTACAACTTTATCAAAACTTGCAGAACGTTCCTTATTGTTATTTTGTGGCAAGCTTTCCGAAGTATAACTTTCCGCCTGAGTGGAAATGTTATTTGTGCTCAAACAATGTTCTCCCAATAATCAATAATTAACAATTTTCCCTTCAATTGTTTTCATATTAATACGAAGCTCTAACTAGTGGGGTGGGTGGCATCGTGCCTTAAGGTAAATTGCTGGAACTTCCCGTACCGTAACGAAACGTTCGAGGAATATTGAATGTTTTCAAATAGACTATTATAAATATTGTATTATTGTCTAATATTTATAATAATTATATAAACTGAATTGCAGAGTTGAAATTATTTGTTTAAAGTATATTAGAACTATAGTCAGAATTAAAAATAAAATCTGAATTATTTTCGATATACAAAAAATTAAAAAAAAAAAAAAAAAAAAAAAAAATGGTACAAAATTTTTTTTTTCCAAAATTAATTATTTTGTTAAGACAAGCAGAAAGTTCTTTGAATCAATTGAATCGGACGCTTAGTTCTCTCAAAAACTGCCATTTTTTGTACATTTAGCTCTGTATCTCCGAAATGGCTGGGCCTGCCTTTGCGAAAAACTAATAACCTTTTCTCCCAATCATTACTAATGGAATGTTTTTTAGATCATTCAAATCGGATGCTCCGTTCTCTCAAAAACTCGATTTCTATTTTCTGCACTCTTTGCTCCTTATCTCCGTAACTGCTGGACCTGTCTTTGCCAAAAACTAATCAGCTCTTCTCCTTATTAATAGGAATCGAATGTTTTTTAAACCATTCAAATCGGTTGATCCGTACGCCCGAAAACGTGGACGAAAATTTGTATCCATACATACATACACACACACACACACACACACACACACACATCCATTTTTTCTGAGGTATGCCAAAACGTTCAGAAACCTTCAAAACGTCGAGAAATGTAAAAATTTTCAATTCCGATTTTCGGCCCATTACAATAACTTACCCTACGGGAAGTTAAAAATTATGAAAAATATATGATTTTACTTTATATTGAACTTTGTTTTTTTTTGTTGAAAATTTTGCCTTTTTTGTTCCAAAAGGCAATTTTCTTTGTCATATGGGTCTCCATAAAATCTTGAATAATAGACAATAATAGCTGACAAATTAACAAAATATATACATTTGCATATTATATAACATTACATTCTTTGCTATACTAACCAGGCATATTTAAAGTTGGCAACGCGTTAACTTTAAGATTTGTCATATTTTTCTTTTGTGGCTGTGTTTTGCAACAATCTGCAAAATGATTGTCGGAAACAAATCGACTTATTCGCATTTTTTTAATCTCCACATCATCCAATTTTGGATTATTCACTCGCCTAATCCAAATCTCATACATCTATAATATTTTGCTTTTTAATTTATAACCTATTGAAGAAACACAATATTACATTTTACATACCTTGTCATTCCTTGTTGGAAAATCATGTAATCTTACTGTTTTCTTATTTCCTACGCAACCAGGAACGTGACAAGTCATTTTTAACACCCTCACTGTACTTTTATAACTTTATATAGAAAATTCTTTAAACTTCACCAACTAATCATACACGAAGCTAATTTCTGAGAATATGACATTTCTTTGTCATACCAACATACGAAGCGCAACCGAGAAAAAAAAAAGTGTAACAACTTTTAGCAAGTGGCATTAACTTAAGCAAGTGGCTTAAAGCACACGCATTGGGATAAACAGCTCTTGGCTCTTTGTCATGTTTTTGTCTCATGTGGCGATACAAGGAGCTACGAGCTGTGAATGGAATCTGACACTCGGTACAGAAAAAGTTGCTGTCCATGTTGCCACATAAGTAAAGTAATAAAGTGAAATATAAAATAAAAGTAATGAAGGTAATAAAACGTATCGTAATAAATGTAAAGAAAATTAGAAGCAAAAAGTAAATATATAAAAGTGAGTATCTAAATGCTATTAATTCTAAACTAAATATAAACTTAAATGAGCAAAATCTAAAAATAAGTTTATAAAATAGAATGTAACCTAATGTAAATGAGCAAAATCTAAAAATAAGCTTATAAAATAGAATGTAACCTAAAGTGAAATAAAAGTAAGTATCTAAATAGTAAAAATATGAAACTAAAAATAAACTTACGCAAGCTAAGTAATAATCTAAAAAAACACGTAACTAAACTAAAAACAAACTTACGCAATCTAAGTAAAAAATCCTAAAAAATACTTATTGTAACTATGAAATGTGAAAAATATTCCACGAAATGACAGGTTATGCTCTATCCCGGAGCCAACTTCAGAGCGTAGGTGCTTTTTGAACGTCAAAACCCATCTGTCATGTTATCAGAATTTAGTGGCTCCTTACTGAACACACAGAACACGTGACTTGAACATGACCACAGATTAATAGATGCACTCACTCGACTAGACGCAGGTCTGCCAACGCAGGCAAAATGTCAATGGCGCCAGATTCAAGTTCATCTTTTGCGGAGTGAAATGCTAGTACAGAAATCTCTCCTTGCATTATATTGAGCTTGGCTAATATAATATGTCGACAATTGTAAATCTGTAAATAGAGTTTATATTAAAATAAATTTTATTTTTTAACTTCCCGTAGAGTAAGTTATTGTAATCGTCGTTTTGAAAGTTTCTGAACATTTTGGCATACCTCAGAAAAAATAGATGTGTGTGTGTATGTATGGATACAATTTTTCGCCCACGTTTTCGAGCTCACAGATCAACCGATTTCAATGGTTCAAACACATTCGATTCCTATTGTTAGAGAGATGTGCTGATCAGTTTTTGGCAAAGGCAGGTCCAGCCGTTTCTGAGATACCGAGATCAATGTTCGAAAAATGTCAGTTTTTGAGTGAAATAAGCAGAGTGAAACGATTGCTTTGGAAAAAAACGTCGATTTTCGGCAAAAAATCTGGTCATACACACACACATTCGATACAGAATGGCTAGAAACGTCGAGAAATCATAAAATCGGAACATAAGATCGGTCGAGAATCGGATTTTTTGATGAAAACAAACTTCTCCTTCGGGAAGTTAATAACTGGGTAATGTCTAGAACATAGATAACTAAACATAATAATAAAATATAAATATAATAATAAAAAAATAGTTTAGAATGAATTTAGAACAGTATCATTTCATTTGATGTTGATTATTGAACACCCAGTCACAAGGTATGTAAAAAATAGTTGCTAAGGTGTAATTTAAGAATAAAATTTTAATTTTGAATATACTATATTATGGGACTGATTCTGCCGCATAACAGACAAATGTTATGACAAGGCTATGTTATGAAGAACGTTCCATACAAATTCGTTCTAAATATTTACAAAGTCATGGGTTGCTGAGCAGTCAGGCATATTTCTCAGGTTGTCAATAGAAAACCTTACGTAGAAATCACATAAATATCAAAAAACGATGTTAGATAACAGGGTGTTTCTGACCCACCTTCATAACATACGAGTGACGTTGCTGTTTATGTGTAAAACAGCCTGAATGCATGGCAAATACATGACATTTTGACAGTATTCAGTATGATTCAGTAGCATAATGTATGGAACTTGGACCGTAATAAGGCCTTGCCATAACATTTTCCTGTTATGCGGTAGAATCGGTCCCGATCTTGAAGACTCTTTTTGTAAGTATTTAATAGATGTAATTGTTAATTTCAGAACAACCAACCAGGAGTCGTTGATTGTCACATTTGATAAGGAAACTTTATATTGGTATTACAAAAAAAACAAAAATTATTAACACTTCTAGTTACCTTTTTCTTTTTTTTTATTTCAAAGGATTCTTAAAAATCTGAAAATTATTATCATTACTATACGTTATAATAACTTACTTAGATACTAATATAATTTGTACTTATTATTAAAATATCTGATAATTTGTGGAGCAATTCTGCCGGAACAGAGCTCATAAAATAGCGTTGTCATGACAACGCTCTCTTATGCTTATTTTTGGTAGTGAAAATTATGAAAATGTCTATCTATTTATTTTGTAGGGAAAAAGATCCAAGTAGAGGCGACAGCCTGAAGACCATTATAATTGAACACCCAGTCACAAGTAATTACAGGTGTGCATGTGGAGTTATCTCCGAATAAATGTATATTACCCTGTTTTGCAGGGTTAGCATTTGCCACATACGTATCGTACAAAACACATAATTTAGGGTATTGTACGATTGAACATACGACCCTCACGATAACTCGTCATTCCACGATAATTCAGTAAAATGAAGATAATAATTCATCAGCACAACTCATTATTGATTTCACACAAATAAATAATGATAAAGTCTTGCTCCTGATAATAATACTAATGTAGCAAATTCATCAATGATAAGCATAATTGCTCCAGGTCAGAGCAAATACCCGTCGCTTGGCACAAAATGGAAGATTTGGATGAGTGGCCATTCATTTTCTTCATCTGAAAGTATATCATATAAAGATCGCGCCCGTTCAGAAGTTATGCGCTTTGATCGGCGATCATGTATTCCGACTCGTATCTTATTTATGGCAAAAAAAAGTCTCGAGGTTGCCTGCATGTCAAATATAAATATATGTTTAAGGCGATCAAAAAAAAAAATACGGCGGATACAATAAAAATAAATCTCTACGTGAAGCGTATGCATTGAATTATAATACGAAAACTCATTGATTAGGAACGATCCAGTTACTTGCGCCAGATATTTTGACCACAAAGTTAACAATTTTATGTGGTTGCTGCGACAAACAAACAGTATTTTCGGCGAGTACGAGGTGGTATATAGCTACGAACGAGTCGATTTCCAACAGCGCGGCAACCCCCATGAGCACATATTATTATGTCTAAATAATGCACCAAAATATAAGACAAATTGTGATGAAAGCAATAATAAAAATTTTATTGATTCATTACGTCTCAATATAATCTTGATAATTCATATTTCAAACTGCAAATACATAAACATGGAAGGACATGTTACAAAGGACAGCGAAACAAGAAATACCATTTCCATATTCCATATCCAGTTATGAAAAGGACAATGATATTAGAGCCGCTAAGTAAAGATGAAAAATCAACTAAACAATATAAAACAATACGCGATCTAATGAAAAAATTGTACAGAGATAATAAATATATGAGTTACGAGGATATTTTGAAAGAATTGGGAATGAACGAAACTGAATATATATTGTCTATCCGTAGTTCATTGAAATAAAGACGAGTATTTTTAAAAAGATCTAGTCTGGAAGTAGCTGTCAACGCTTACAATTCCAATATACTAAAATTATTTGAGTCCAATATGGATCTTCAGATTATATTAGACGAATATGCACTAATAAGCTATGATACTAATTATATTAGTAAGATAGAGAGAGGACTATCCAAGCTTTTGAGAGAAGCAGCTGCGGATTGCGACAACAATAAAAGTATTAAAGAAAAATTGTGTATTTTTAAATAGTAATTTAATGTCTGCTCAAGAAGCCGTATATAATGTGCTTTCGTTGTCTTTGTCGAAACAGAGTAAAAAGACAATCTTTATAAATACTCGGCCAACGACTGAGCGAGTGTTAATGTTAAAGTCGATCGGCAGTATAAAACAATTAAACAAGGATTCAACAGAAATATATGTGGCCGATTTATTTGCTAAATATAGCAAACGGGATGAAAGTTTAGAGTATGTTTGTATGGCTGAATTCTCAGCTAATTATGAAAGTAAAAACAAAAGATCATTCAATGTTGATGACGATGTTGACATCAGTGAAAAAGAAGTGGAAATAATAAACCGCCAAAAGCCTGCTATAATAAGATATACAAGATATAAATTATGTCAAGACCCGGCCAATTATTATAGAGAAAATATATTGTTATTCATGCCTTGGCGAAATGAGTTGCAAGAGGTGGAAAATTTCATAAAAGAATAATTGAAGATAACCACTTTAAATTTTCTATTATAAGTGACGAAGTTTTAGAAGATGCACCAAAATTAATTGAACTGGAACAACTTCAAGATGATGATGAACATATCGATCAAAATTCACTCGAAAGCAATATTGATATATTACAACAAGAGGGTAATAAAACGACAAATAATAAAACAAAAATGACCTCAACAAACAGTTGATATGCGTGCCCCAATAGCGTTTTCCAAAATCAATTGTTTGAAATGATGCTACATTTAAATATTAAGCAGCGGGAGTTTACTATGCATATATTGAAGTTGTTCAAAACAGGAAAAATACCGTTTAAAATATTCTTAAACGGTTCTGCCGGTGTGGATAAAAGTATAGTAATAAATACATTATACCAACTGATAACAAGTTATTTCGACAGTCTTCCCGGTGGAGATTTAGATAAAATAGTGGTACTGCTGTGTGCCCCGTCAGGAAAAGCTTTCCTCATTAATAGTGTCACGTAGCATTCCGCGTTTGCTTTGCCTTGCAGACTATTTGGCGTAAACTTAGCAGAACTATCTAGCGATGTTGCCAATACAATTCGCGAGCAATTGGCAA